GTTCCTCCAAAAGCAGCACAGGTCTCTGACACACGTGCAGTGGGCGCAGGGAACAAACTGGAAACACTTTTTTTATTTTTTTATTTAGTGCCCACTCTGGGCCGGACACATCCCACACCTCTGCCAATAGCAACGCCATGACCTCTCCCCCAAGTCGGTGGGGTGGGTGTTCCTGCCCTCTGTGCTTCACAAGAGGAAAAAGAAGCAAGGCGGTGGGCGGATAGTCACTTACCCAAGCCACGCAGCTTGAGGCAGAGCCAGGATCTGGACCCAGGCAGTCCGGCCCAAAGCACCCTTTCCCGATCACTGTGGAGAAGATACCTGTGCCTCTAACAGCGGCAGGTGCTCGTGGGGCCTCCCTGCCTTCCTGGCTCATTCAGGAGCTCCTGAGAATTGCTTCGCAGGCCTGGCAGGTGCTAACCCCCCTCAGGAGTGGTCCCAAACAGGCCTTCTCATTAGATCACCTTCTTGGTCCTTGTATTCTCCTTAGAAAGACTGGGGCTATTGCCGGAAGGCATACCTGCCCTCCGGGAATGCGATCGGCCCCTATGGCCAATCCTTGGCCCTGTGGACATTAGGCCAGGGGGAGAAAATGTCACCGGCTATAAGCGTAGTTCCAAAAGCAAGCTCTGTAAAGTCAGAAAAGGCACCAAGCTGCCGCCCCGGAAGGGAAGACAGTGGTACATGGACAGGTCTGTCGGGAACCTCTCTGAAACCTGTGTTCCCTCTGCCCCCACCCCCACCCCCACCCCCGGCTGGGTTGAGTGGTGGCACCAGCGTGAGGCCTTGAAGAAGCTGGTGCCTTGAGGCTGCATTTGAGGGAAAAGGGAGGTCAGTAGGGGCGATGAGGTCGCTGGAGGCCGTTTGAGAGAATTAGAGCCACCTGGGCCACTGCCAGCCTTCACTTCTCTCCGTCCTTCCCTGTGCATGCAAGGAGCTCCTCCTCCCCCTCTCCCTCCCCCTCCTCCTCCTTCGGGACCCTGACTGCGAAGTGGTTAGGAGTTGGGCCGCCACCCGCAGTCGGCAGTTTGAAACCACCAGCCACTCCTCAGGAGAGACGGGGCTTGCTTCTTCCGTAAACAGTTACGAGCCTTTTAAACTCTACGATCGGTTCCGTGGCCATGGGAGAGTGAATCTTCAGTGTCCAGGTGAGGACGAGCGAGGCAGGTTGGGCCCGGCCCTAAGGGAGCTCACAGTCTGTGGGAGGAGATGACGGCACGGACAGTTCCCAGGTGGCCTCAGGGCTCCAAAGGGCCCAAGCAGACACAATGTACGCAATGAGACGGACACTGCAGCCCGAAGCATGAGGAGCCAGGCGGGCAGGTAGTGGGCATGAGAGGTCGTTCCTCGCGGCAGAGACGAGCTTGTCTGGCCCCGGGGCAGAGCGGCCGCCTGCGTGGCTGGTGTGGCGTGATCAAAGGAGGAGTGTCAGGACGTGTCTGCCGCCACGTTGGTGAAGCCACTTCAAAGCGAAGTGTTGGCCTCACAGTCTGTGGGGTGACTGGGCTCAGCTGGGCAGTCCTTGCCTTCTCCAATAGGTGCAGCCAGCTGTCAGCGGGGCGAGAGCCACCTGCCGGCTAACCTGGGCTGCCCCTCCAAGCACGCTCACCTCAGCTGGCAGGTAATGCTGGCTCTTACCTGAGCGCGTGGCATGTGTGCACATCCGACCCTTCCGTGTCTTTGGGTTTTTTTCCAGCATGGCAGCTGGGCTCCGAGAGGGTGCATCCAGAAAGTGAGTGTTCCGGAGGCAGGATGTGGACCCTGCTGGGCCTTGACAGTCCGGGTCTGGCAACCCGTAAAGTGTCTGTCACTCTGCCAGATGCGATGGGAGGGGACATAGAGAGAAAGCCAGTGCCTTGGTGGCCATCTTGCCTCTGCCAGGCAGGCAATAAGAATGGGGGTGGGAGGGGGGGGATGGAGAGGGGAGCAGGGTCAGGGACGCAGGGCTTTGTACTCATGGTAAGGCAATCTATCTGACCGGCCTGTGCATGGTGTGTAGGGAGAGTTGATGGTTTAGAGCTTTAAAAAAAATTTTTTTTTAATCATTTTGAGTTCTTGCTTGCTGAAGGCAACTCGTTCAGACCAGAGAGCTGGGCAGAATGGAGTTGGAAAGAGCGAAGCTCTTCTCTGGCTCCTGTCCCCTCTCTGGTCTCAGGGCCCACTCCAGTAAATGAGGGGTGAGTAAAGTCAGTGGGTTTTCACACTGTTCCTCAGTGCCCTTGAGAAGGGTCTCGGCCTTCACGGGGGCAGGCCTGGGGCACCAAGTTGCAAAGTCTCAGATCGACCGTCTCCAGCCCCTAAGCCTCTCATGTAGCCGCATAAAGGAGGTCTGTGGACCGCAGATCTCGGTACATGGGCCCAAGTCAGGCTACATGCAGCAGGACAGCAGATGAGCTACCTGTCGGGATAGGCGTCGTTTTCTAAAGCAGAAGAGGTGCTGGGCTTGTAGTCCAGGGAGGCATAAGAGCTCTGCCAGGTGGGCAGGGGTCAGCACCCACCTTTCTGCTAAGCCAGCCCAGTGCTGGCTTTTAACCCCATTATCACCTCATAGGCTA